TATATATATATATATATATATATATAATGCAAACAAAGTCTATATATATACACATTATATATTATATGGGTGGATTAAACTACTCTATCACTTTATAAATGCTTAAAATATGTATCATAATGTAAATGTTTGCGTCAGGTAAATTATATCATTGGTAAAGCAACTAAAAACATTAGACATTCAGGCTGTAATTGGACCACAACCTAAGAATTGGTGATGAGATTAAATAGCATAGCCTGCCGGTAAACGCGGCTTTTGCTACGTGTTGGGTGTTAAACAGTAAAAGACAACAACAAAAACAATAACAACAACAAAAAACGGTCTTGTCTATTAGATGTTGAATGCTTGTTCAGAAAACATATTCCCTCGTAATGGTAGAGAGGGGACTTTACGAAGTTGGGAAAACGAGGTGCCGCTAAAGCTAACTTGGCTAACAGCTAAGCTTACTTCTAGTACTAATGCCTCCACCTAAAATAAGGACAAACTTTGTCAAACAACTTGTTTTACAATAGTCATATATATAAAACAAGAACCGATTGTGTAATTGCAGCAAACTGAGGCAATGTTGCAAAGAAATGCATCACTTAGCCGATGCTAATCACGTTAGCCCTTACCTCCAGGAGAATACATTTTGTCGACTTTTTAAGCGTAAGGCAGACGATAAATTATCCACTTTAAAAACGCCAGCCTCCGCCTAACCTCATGCGAAGCCAAAAATATTTTTTGTATCTAACAAACACTTCGAAAATAAAGCTATTTAGTTAGCCAAGTGGTAAATATTTGGAGTCTCGCATCCTCGGTACGACCCCATCCCCCCAACACACAAAACGAGAGCAGAAACGATGGCACACAAAAAAAAAAAAATCCGTGTGGGGCAAGAGCACTCCCTCCCATCCACTTCCGCTTTGGGTTATTTTCTTTCATGTCGTCGCTCAAACATTTCTTTTTAGACAATTGTTTGCCCTTAAGTAAATTAATTTTCGGTAAAACCAATTATTTAAAAAATATTAATTTTGTTACACATCATTGTAAAATGAACGCTTGGTCTCTAAATGCACATATTTCGTCGCTGTGTATGACAAAGATTGTATTCATTTTATGTGAAGGTGATATCTATCTTGCTGGCGGAAATATTCCGTTAAGTGACGTAGAACGTACGCAGCGCGCGCTCACGTTGAATTCAAAAGTGAAACGCTGTTGTAGTTGTACACTACAACCATAGATATCATATACTACAACAGCATCTATTGTAGTTGTAGTTTTCTTTAACGAAATAATTAAGACTAAACATGGCTGCAGTGCCATATGACGGAGAACCTTCATATAATTAAAAGTAATAATTAATTGCCGGAGGAAAATACGCTTAATTAAGTTTAAAGCCTTGAATACGTAAGCATTTCCGGGGTAACAAACCGGTTTTAGCAGTAAATACACATTTGCTTTATTAAACACCCTATACACAGATACTGAAATGCAAATCATTGCAAAAGACAATCTGTTTGTGGTGTTATTTGTATCATCACTACTAAACTTTAATTACTTGTACTTTTATGTGTATTAAGAAACTTGGGCTCTCAAATGTACAATTTGTCCCTTTGGTTTTTACCCTAAGGTCAATTTATTTAGATTAAAACATTAAGCCATCATTTATTTCTACACGAACCCTCAAGCGTTGTCCTTTAATTGTGCCACTAGTGGGTGCTGTTCACCGCTAAATGTAAAAAGTGACAGCCCTGGCATGGCTCTTTCTGTGTACCCTGGAGCGGATTTAAACTTAACACACCGTTAATTAAATCTTTATTATTCATGTTTGGCTAAGGAGAAATATGTAACACATTATTTATTTTTTTTGTGTTAATACATCAAAGGGAATGAGTCGTTAAACCACCAAATAAAGTTTAGCAATCCACAATGGAATATTCATCAGATGTAAAATGAAAAGTAGGAAAATTACATGATTTTTTTTTTTTTTTAATAAATAGAGAATCTTATTCCATTATTACATGTGCGCCTAAATGAATAAGCATCGTTTGTTTTGATAAAATGATTAAATAAATGGGACAAAGACTAACTCTTCAGCGGGGACGTTTTTTGACGAAGAGCTTTTGTCTTTGATTCATCCTTTTAGCTGAATTGGCAACATTTTTAATTGCTCCTATTGATTGATGGAATAAAATAGGACAATGCATATAACCCGCGTAAACCCCCCCACCCCCACCCCAAAGGAAAGCTGGCGGGGTGAAATGGGTGTTGCTGCGCCTGTGTGTGTGTGCGCGCGCGCCTTGGCCAATGGAACCAGATCCTCCCTGCAGTGCGCAAGAGCGCGATTTAGGATTTAACCAAGTCTTTGCTGCGGGGCTGGCTGCAGTCTTCAGCAGAGCCCGACGGCCTGAGAGCCTCTCCACACGATGAGAGTGTAATCTGCACACCCGCTTCTGGACTCGTTTTTCTCCTCTTTTGTTGTTGTTAATTGTATTAAATCAACCCAAACAGTTTTTTCTCCCCAAATCATGACCGGAGTTTTCGATCGGAGGATCCCGAGTGTGAAACCTGCAGATTTTCAGAGCTCCTTCCAACTCTCCGCCATGCACCACCCGTCTCAGGAATCTCCTACTTTACCGGAATCCTCGGCCACGGATTCTGGCTACTACAGTCCCGCCGGAGGAGTCCCCCACGGCTACTGCTCGCCCAGCTCCTCCTCGTACGGGAAGCCCCTCGGCGCCTACCAGTACCAGTACGCGGGCGTAAACGGATCCGCTGGAAATTACGCGACAAAAACCTACGGAGATTACAGCTCGTACACGACCCCCGCCTACCACCAGTACGCTGGGACATACAACAGAGTGCAAGCACAGCAGAGTCCACAAGGTACGGGCCCAAAACCTTTTCAGTTTGGTGTTTTTGTAAAAACATTTATTGAGGAAATATCCGGGTAAACTGTATTGTTACGCATTTTCCTTCATGGCATATAGTCCAAGAGCAAGATGCAGAAGTAAGCAGTCTTAAGCAAGGGAAATTAATCAAGTCATGATTTTAAAAAGTGAGGAAGCTGATTTCCATATCAATCTGGCGCTTATTATTATTAATAATAATCCTTATGTTTTATTTTTCTAAACGAAAAATCACAGTTGTTAACGCGTGCTCTCTTTTTTGTTTGTTTAGAAAAAGAATTAAGTGAGCCGGAGGTGAGGATGGTGAACGGGAAGCCGAAGAAGGTGAGGAAGCCCCGGACCATTTACTCCAGCTTCCAGCTGGCGGCCCTGCAGAGGAGGTTCCAGAACACGCAGTACCTGGCGCTGCCGGAGAGAGCCGAGCTCGCAGCCTCGCTGGGACTCACACAGACACAGGTGAGCTTTTAATATCTTTAATTTTTACACCTGGGAAAATGTTATTAAAAATGTACTTTTAAAAACAGGACGTTATCATTCTGTGTGTTGCGTTTTTACGCAGCGTGCGCCCTTTGGCGCTTCTTAAGCATCATTACTAATCTTTTTATTATTATTCTTTAGGTCAAGATTTGGTTCCAGAACAGGAGATCAAAAATGAAGAAGATCATGAAAAATGGCGAGCTTCCTCCGGAGCACAGCCCCAGCTCCAGCGACCCCATGGCCTGCAACTCGCCGCAGTCTCCGGCCGTGTGGGACACGCAGGGCCCCTCCAGGGCGCACGGCTTACAGCCGCAGAGCCTCAACACGGCGGCTTCAAACTTTTTGGACAACACTTCGTCTTGGTACACGTCGGCCGGCAGCTCCATGGCTTCTCACCTTCAGAGCCCGAACTCGATACAGCACTCGTTGGCTCTGGGAGCCGGGACGTTATACTGAGAAACAAACTAACGTGTTGTTCATTTGGTTTATTACAATTTTTGTTTCCTTCTATGGGACTCGTGTACACATTTCAGAGGAATATGCAATGTATTTGATGACAGTCATAGAGGAAAACGTGTAAAATGTGTAAATGTGTGCATGTAATTTATTGCATTTTGGAAGACTATTAAACGTTTAAAACGGACAGTGGATTTTTTTTTTATCTTCCGCTTTTCTTAAGAGTCTGTTCATTTCAGTTATCATTTATTTACAATAAAATAGATTTAAAAACAAATCTAACACAGACTATTCCTGCGCCGCAGTGGACGCAAAGCTGCTGAATTATACCCGCACTTTAATCACAGCTCCTAACAAAGCTGCATCTGTTGCTTTTTGTTATTTATGTTTCTTTTTATCTTCATTATCATATATATATATA